CCCCATGACATACTTCACAGAATTAGAATAAACCATCCCTGGGGATGGAGAGATGGATCAGCGGTTAAGAACACTGGTTGTTCTTGCAGAAGACCCGGGTTCGAATCCCAGCACCCACAAGGCAGCTAACAACTCCAGTCCCAGGGGATCCGACAGCCTCTTCTGTCATCCACGAGCACTGCACGACATGGGTGCACTTACCTACATGCAGGTATAACACTCATACACATAAAATAAAAATAATAAATAAAATATTTTTTAAAAAAAGAAAGAAAAAGAAAAAACCATCCTTAAATTCACATGGAAGCACAAAAGACCCAGGACAGCCAAAGCAACCTTCAGCACAAAGAGCAACGCTGGAGGGATTACTATACCAGATCTCTCAAAGTATACTACAGAGCCATAGTCATAAAAACAGCATGGTACTGGCACAAAAACAGACACATAGCTCAATGGACCATCATCAAAGCCCCAAACCTGAGTAAACGCAATTTCGGCCACCTGATATTTGACAAAACTGCCAAGAACACACAATGGAGGAAAGACAGCATCTTCAACAAATGGTGCTGGCAAAACTGGATCTCCACCTGTAGAAGAATGAAACTAGATCCTTATCTTTCACCTTGCACAAAAGTCAACTCCAAATGGATCAAAGACCTCAATGTGAAACTCAAATCTCTGAAACTACGAGAAGAAAACATTGGCAGTAACTTGAAAGACACAGGTGTAGGAAAGGACTTTCTAAACTGGACATCAACTGCTCAGGAATTAAGGTCAACAATCAACAAGTGGGAACTCATTAAACTAAAACGCTTCCCTATAGTAAAAGAAACAATCAACTGAAGAGAAAACCCACAGAGGGGAAAATCTTCACCATTGACACATCTGACAGAGGTTTAACATTCAGAATACATAAAGAACTCACAAAACAAAGAAAGCAAATGACCCAATTAAAAGATGGACTGAGGATCTAAACAGAGAGTTCCCAAAGGAAGAAAAAAAGATAGCTAAGAAACATCTTAAAGAGTGTTCAACATCATTAGTAATTAGGGAAATGCAAATTAAAACCACCTTAAGATTTTACCTTACCCCAGTCAGACTGGTTGAGATCAAGAGAACAAATGATACCAAATGCTGGTGAGGATATGGAGAAAGAAGAATGCTCATTCGCTGCTGGTGGGACTGCAAACTCATGGAAAGCATATGCCAGGCATGGTGGCACATGCCTTTGATCCTAGCACTCTTGGGAGGCGGAGGCAGGCAGATCTCTGTGAGTTCAAGGCCACTCACTAGTCTACATAGTGAGTTCCAGGACAGCTGGGGCTACAGGGAGACGCTGTCTCAAAAAGACCAAAAAACAAAACAAAACAAAACAAAACAAAACACTACCACATGACCCAGTTCCATTATACTACTCCTTGGTATATACCCAAAGGACTCATCCTATTGTAGAGACACTTATATAACCATGTTTGTTACTGCCCTTTTCACAACAGCTAAGAGATGGAAGCAACCTAAGTGCCCCACAACTGATGAGTGGTTAATGAAAATGTGGTACATTTACACAATGGAATCCTACTCAGCAGTAAAGAGAGACGAAATAATGAAATCTGCAGGTAAATGGATGGATCTAGAAACTGTCACACTAAGTGAAGTTAACACAGACTCAGAAAAACAAATGACGTATGTTCTCCCTCATATGTGGATCCTAGCACAAAATCCTTATTGAGTACATATCCTGATGTAACTTCAGGAACCAGGAAAGTGGAAGGAAACCAGGGAGGTAAAGGGAAAGAAGGAACCCGAGAGAGAATAGTAGGAGACAGGTGTTACTAAGGGAAAATGTGTTAAAAAAAGGGGGGTGGTGGTGGTAATTAAACAGAAGGGGGAGAGGGGGGGCTGTACAAAGAACCATGGGAATAAAGGGGAAGAAGGAGCTCAAGAGGTGGGACCACAGCATACAAAAATTATCAAGGGAGAAATGGGGAAAATGGAGAAACTTTAAATGGGAAGGGGAGGATAAGACAGGGAGAGAAAAAGGAGACATAAATAGTGCCTAGCTAGTATAAAAAAAAAACCATAGGGAATTGTGTTAGTCCTAAAACCTACTGAAAAATTACACATACAATATCCCTACATGAGTTTGTGAGTATAGCTTAAGACTACATAACAAGAATCAGGGCCAGACAAGAGAAACCTTCCTTTGAGTTGTTGGTCAGGGTAGTCCAAGAGACTCCCAAAATTATACAGGCTATTGCCTCAGCCCTTGATTGCCTGCCAGAACTTGATGGTAAGACCCTATTGCTGAAGACAGGGCATACTTTGGACACAAGATTTGGAGCAATGGAGCTGGAACCGATCTGGAAGCTACCTCCCCTGAAAGCTAGCCCTCATAGCTTTGGAGAACACTACATAGCTGATACATCAATCGATGGTCCAATCCTAGCTTCAAGGTCTAAAAACTGATTCAATGTAATATTGGTGCAGTAATGGCACTTTTATCTTGGGAGTAATCAATAGCTACCTAACTGGACTTAAAGCCCACTCAATGGGAGGAAACTCATGTCTGGTACTGTAAACCTAGTCAAATACACACGGCTGGAGAAGTCATAGATCTTAGAGAAAACCCAAACCTCTCATATCCCTAGACAGATATAATTTCTTACTATGTGCAAAATACGGATCCTTAAATTTACAGACAAGAATCCAAGTCACCACCCATCAAAGAAGCTTCTATTTCAACAGACAGAGATTATTACAGAGTTACACCACTGGTCACTAAGTTCTCTGACTTGCCCAGGCCTAAGTGGCACATCCAGGATGCAACCTCTATACCTAAGACTCATGGAACATAGAACAAGAGATGAAGAGAATACTAACACATCTTTTAATTCTCATCAATAAAACTCCCTCATGCAACAGAGGGCCAGGAACACAAAATGCAGAGAATAAGAGTCAGCAGAGCAAGGTGTGGGTCCTTGGACAGGTCTCCTATAATGAGGTCCACCCAGCCAGGGCTCAGGGACCATTGCAGAAGAGGGAGCAGAAAGAGTGTAAGAGCCAGGGAGGAGGTGGCTAGGGAGGAGGTACATGACCATACAGAAATAGTCCTAACAGGTGCCAGGGACTGTTCTCATACAAACCTACAGCAATGGTGTCACAAGATCCATGCAAACTCAGGCAGACAAAAACCTAGCACAGAACTGTGGAAAAGAGCTGCAAGCCCCAATCTTAGTCGAAGAATTATTGGCAGCCCCACAGCTGGGTGAGGAAGAGCAGATCTTCTTGGAGAGAGACTCTAAGATAGGCTGACTAAACCCTGGTGGATGAAAGTGCACTGAAGGACATCTTGGAACACTACTTTACATAATAGGCCTCACTACAAATGACAGAATGTATGAACTCCAGTGGGGGTGCTATGGGAGGGTGCCAAAGGGGAAGGGGGTATAAAGATGACTTTAGGGCCAGGTGTGGTGGTACACACCTTTAATCCTAGCACTCAGGTGGCAGAGGCAGGCGGATCTCTGTGAGCTCAAGGCCAGCCTAGTCTACATAGTGAGTCCCAGGTCAGCTGGGGCTATATGGAGACCCTGCCTCAAAAAAGACCAAAACAAAACAAACAAACAAAAAAAGATGATTTTACGTCTGAAATACACAAAAATTCAAAAGCCCATTTTACACACACACACACACACACACAGAGAGAGAGAGAGAGAGAGAGAGAGAGAGAGAAAGCAAGAGAGAGAGAGAGGCTAAGGCAGGAGGATCAAGTACAAGGGCAGCTTGGCTACAAAGGGAACTCTCTCAAAAATCAAACAAAAATTTTAAGTGGCATGGTGTATGCCTGTAATCCCAACTACTTGGGAGGCTGAAGTAGGATGATCACAGGTTTGAGGTCATCCTGGGCAACTTAGTGAGACCCTGTCTCAAAATCCAAGAAAACAAAAAGGGAGCTGGAGTGACCGCTTAGTGGGTAAAATGCCTGCAGCATAAACATGAGAATTTGAGTTTAGATCCCCACTATCCACATATCTAAGTCAGGCCTGACAGTGCATGTCTGCAACCCTAGCACTAGGGGATGGCAAGAGGATCCTGAGGGCTTGCTGTCTGGGCATTCTAGCCAAAATGGCCAGTTCCAGGTCCAGTGAGAGACCCTGTCTCAAAAAATAAGATGAAGTAAATGAGGAAGGGAGGGAGGGAGAGAAGAAAGGAGGGAGGGAGGGAACTTTCAACTCCTCTGCAAAAAGAGGTAACTAGATATCAGTGAATGTCAGGCACTGATCTTTCAACAGCATTTCCCACTAAAGTAAAACAAATAGAAAGGCTTAGGGAATGGCTTAGGGACTGTTGCCTGCCAGTAATACCCAGGTCCTCTGTGCTCAGGCATGTTGGCCTGATGGATGGCTGGGCTCTGGGTCAGCCTGAAGCTATGCAGCCTGCACCTTGCCCATATGCAGGAAGGCCTGGTTGAAGAGAGTTCTGGATTGGAACTGTATTTTAGCTTCCACTCTTTGGATGAGTCCTCATATCAGCATTTTAAGATTAGGAACATTTTACCTGAAAAGGTCATTATAGAAATCAGATTAGTTAAGAAGATGGGGACTTCCTGAATTAAAAAAAAAAAAAAAAAAAAAAAACCAGACTATGCCCTAAAATGATAGCAATGAAGCCAAGGTTTGGGATCAGCCTCCACTCAAAGTTCTGAATGATGAAACAAAGAGTAGGAAGAGAACAGGAAGAAGATGGAAAGCACACAAAAACATTACACCCCAGCCACTGATAGACTTGGGTATCCTCACAAGAGCCAAGGAGTGTTTCAAGAAAGAAGACTCAAAGAGGTCCATGACCTGCTCAAAGTGACAAAACTAGAAACCTAAGGGTCCAGATTTGAATCTGGTCTCTGACAAGTTCAACTCAGTAGCATCTATGGTCATCTGTTCAGCCACCCCAAATTTCTCAGTATTGGAGTCTGCTTTCTGGGTCTTTCTAGGCATACTTACCTGTGAGCTAGAGGGCAGGACCTGGGAGGTGGGTTCCTCAGATGGCACTGCTCCTGAGCCCATAGGGCTCAGTGTGGTGATTCTGCTTGGCTGGCCACGGAGTGTCAGAGTAATGGTGGTGGGGACCTTCAAGCCTGAGAGACAGGAACAGACATGAGAGACAGAGACAGAAAGATGGAGGTCGGGGGAGGGGTGTCACAACAGCTACTTTCTAGCGACTTTTTCCAGAGTTTCTTCCCATATAACACAACCTCTCAGTCTCCTCCCCAGATGGGTAGTCTATGCCCTATCAGTCAATTTGAAAGGCAGCAGGAAACAGTCTATGTTCTTTCTACCTCTCTGGTCCAAGAGTCATTGCCAGGTCCCTGTGGGGCTACGTTAGATCTTACCTATATGAGATGGGTGGGAAAGTGCTAGAAAAGAGCCCAGATCTAGAAGCCCACATTATTTTCATAAGACTCACCCGATGCTTGGTTAGAGATCTGAGCCAAGCCAGGGAGGCTGCTTGCCAACTTAGCAAGGCCTCCATTGGTTAGCAGCTGATGGATGGCTGTAGGCTTCCCACCAGGAGTGGCACCCAAGGAGGACAGTGTTGTAGCCACAGGAATGGTACGGACAATGGTGCTGGTGCCCGTGGTGATGGTACCCAGGCTCTGCATGGGGGTGGGCAACTTCATGCCGGTGGCCTGTTGGAAAAACAAGACCAGGAGATCAGAAGCCCACAACATTCAAGCTTATAGGGCCCAGAGCATACTGTTAAAGGCTAACATGCACTGAGTGCCTACCACATGCCATGTACTCTTTCAGATACTTTGCATCTATCATCTCTACTCCTCACAACAACTCTATGAGGGAACCAATATTACCTTATTTTACTGACAACAAAACAAACAGAGAGGTCAAGAAACTTGCCCAAGGCCAAAGTATTAGAACCTAACTTTTGGTAGTTTCTTGACTTGGTATTTAGAAGGCTATTTATCCCTGACCCTCTGATACCAGACACAATCTCTCTGTCAAAACCAATGAAGCTAAGGAGTCCTTCCCACACTTGCCCAGCTCAACAGATATATACCTGTGGGGATGGCCCTGGGGAAGGACTCGCTGGGAGGCCAGAGGTCTTACTGCTTATATCCTGCAAGCTGAAGCTGAGGCCTTGTAGGAGGCTGCTGGCTGAAGCGGCCCCTAGGAGAGGATATAGCATAGCACAAATCAGCACAGGTTAGTCACTTATATATACCCACAAACAGCCATGCTGTTCACCCTTACCAACAACTAAATTTGATCCACAGCTCTTGCCCTTAAGACACTCCCCTGCCCTCATAAAGACACCAGGCACACACAGTAGCTGCCACATGAGGAAAGGTGCTATGTTAGCCATCAACTGACCAATGTCACCCATCAGCTAGTGCCCATCCTTCACAGTAGAGGATAAAGCCCTTGCAGATACCAAAGATAAGAAACTCCCCTCAGTCAAACTAATTCCAGCTTCCTGGTTGTTTCCATGATCACTGGGAGACCAGAGATAAATCTTTCAGCAGCAGATCAAAAAGACTTTCCTGGAAGAGGGTGGGATGAGCTACAAAATACCTGGGAGGGAACTGCCAGGAGAGGTGGCCACCAAGTGGCTCTGGAGAGTGTGCAGGGCACTAGGCGTGGTGTTGCTGGAAGACATTGATGGGGCTATGCTGGCTGTGATTCCACCTTCAGAAGAATTTGACCTGGAAACAAAGAAAAGAGCTGTCATCCAAAGGGCAGCAGACTACAGCAACATAGAGAGTGTCCAGAGCCAAGTCCAACAACACTTTCAACACAGGACACAGGGGAAGAAAGAAGTCTCTTATTTCTCTGTTCCAACATCTGAACCCCACCTCTATCCTTTCAAAAGTCAAGTCTAAAATAAATAACTTGGGCCTCTGAGCAAAGCCAGGGAAATTCTACTTTTCAGAAACCTAACTCAATCTTTATCTTTAGGGAAGAGGAAGAACTTTTTAAGCAAAGTAGATTCAGACACCTGACTTCACCTTACACACAGTCCAGCATCCTCTAAAGAAAGAGGAAGAGTTTTGTTTTTTTTTTTTAATTTAAATTTATTTTTATTTTGGTGTATCCATGTGTGCAATATCTTAAGGAAATCTCTTCAGGAAAAATGGACTCTGAATTGACACTGATGAAAGATAAAGATCTCAATCAGAAGGAAGTCACATGTCCCTAACTAACAGGCTCCAGAGTCTATCTACTTCCCAAAATACTAAATGAACCAGAAAAAAAGTGAAAGGAAAAGAGGGAATAGAGAAAGACCAAGGGAAGACTTACTTGGCTGTGGTGAGAAGCCCGGTGAGCTCCTTGGCCCCTGCTGAAGGCCCCAGCGTCATGGTGATAGGTTTCCCTCCTGTAGCTGCAAAACAGAAACCCCAAAACCAAAGGTTAGCTGCCAAAATATTTTGCCCTTGTTTTTTTTTTTTCCTTTTTAATATTTTATTTATTATTTTTATGTGTATGTGTGTATTGCCTACACGTAGGTAAGTGCACCGATGTCGTGCAATGCCTGCGGAGGACAGAAGAGGCTGTTGGATCCCCTGGACCTAGAGTTACAGACAGTTGCTAGCTGCCATCTGGGTGCTGGGATTTGAACCTGGGTCTTCTACAAGAACAGCCAGTGTTCTTAACCGCTGAGCCTTCTCTCCAGCCCCTTGCCCTAGTTTTTTGAGTTCTATAACCATGGCTAAATTTAAGATGTTATGGCCAAAGACTGGAAGGTAAAAAAAGGACTAGCCATGTTAATACAGGGAGAATGGGGGGCACTTTTTTCCTTCCATTTTCTAAGTTTTCTACAGTATCTCATAATCTTCCATTGAAACCAATAAAAAGGACAGAATATATAATGCTCTGATGGCTCCACAAATGCTCTCATATTCTGCTCCCCCGTCCTCATTCAGTAAGGTCACCGCCACTCATGACACATCTGCCCTAGTGTCCTTCATGCTGACAAGACTGGACTGCCTGACAGCAAGCAGCCTCTGAGGGAACCAAGCTGCATGCCTGGGAGAGCTGGTCAGCTTTTACCAAACACACAACACTCACCTTCAGGGGTTCCACCTTGGGAAGGAGCACAAGGCCCTCCAGCTGTGTCCCCTTGGGAGATCAGGGACACTTTGATCTTCGGTCTCTTGGAGGTCTTCGTGCCAGGAAGAGGACTGGAAGGATGGTGCCGCTTCAGCTGAACCCTAAGCTCCTCTTTCTCCGACTCTTCTGCTGGTTCTGATGAAATGGGAACTAAGAGGTGGAACTGAGGTGAGATCTTCTGTAAGCTAGAAAAGCTTATAGATATTACAGGTCAAGCTAGCAAAGAGCAGCCACGTGGGGACACACAGGAGATATGTCCCAGGTATAGGGCACACTTCACATCACCACCTCAGCCCTGCCCTTGGTGGACCCCACCTTGTGCTTTGGACAGAAGGCATGGAAATGCTGCCTAGCAAGGCCAGCGACACCAAAAAAAAGGACTCAGCTTAATGGCTCTCAACACTTCCCAGATGCAAGGAATGTGATCATTTCCCTATTATACTCCCTCCTCCACTGCCCCACAGCTTCGGACAGTAAACATTTTATGAGGAACATACGAGGGCAGGCTACCTTAGTCCTCTGCAAAAGAGTGTTTTCATAGGGCTCCCAGGAGTCCTACCCTGCCCTAGGCACTCAAGGCCAAGGGTATGCTTGCCAAATGGAAGCAGTGAGGATTGTCACCATGACCTCAGCTGGTTCTCAGGAGCTACTGGTTAAGGAGACATGACAGCTCCTGCCCAAAGGTAACAGGGCAAGAATGGCCCATGTCATTCCCAGTCTAGACTGACATGGGCTCCCCCTGACTCAAACAGATCACTGTGCATACAGCCTTCTGGGCTTGTTATCCTTTAGGTTTTCTCACAATTTTCCTATGCTTTATACACAGAAGTTGCTGGCCCCAGCCCTTTAGTCCTCCTTAGCACAGGCAAACACAGGTGGAAGTGGAGAGGAAAGCAACAGTCTAGTGAGCAAGGGGGTGTTCCTGGCTAGGGGCCACAGTCAATCTCTAGCTAGAAGGACTTCTTAGGGGCTAAATGTGCTGGCTAACGCCAGCGGAGGAAGAAGAGTAGTTGTTAAGTGTCTGGTGTGCTTGTAGCAGTCAGGATGGAAACAGAACACAGAGGCAGGGAGAAAACAGACAAGGAAATGCACTCATAGCAACAATTAACAGACACACAGAAGAGACACAGAACCAAGAAGCATGATAGAAAAACCATAGTGAGAAAAAAAGGAAAATACTATGAGATGCCAACAGAAAGGATGCAGAAAAGGCAAAGGCTATAGCATAAGCAAAGGGAGTTGGTGGAAAGAATCAGAAGACAAGACAGGAAATGAAGAAATGAGTGGAGGGGGGAAGGAATGAGAGGCAGGGGAGGAGAGCCATAAGCCCAAGCAAGCAGGTGAAAGCGATACTCACCAAAGAGACAGGAGGAAGCGCCGGGAGGGAAAGCTTTCCTCACCAGCATGTTTTGTTTCAGAAAAGCAGCAAACTGTGCTGGAATGAATCAGAAAGAGTTACAGAATCATAGCTAGCTAGAGAAAGTAGACACAGAGTAGGAATAAGAAAAAGATGAAAATGGTCAGTGGGGTTCTTTCTGAGGGAACTACATGGGTCTGAAACCTGCACTGTGTTATTAGGCTCCATGGAATCCTCTACAAACTGATCTTGCCCCATGGGGCCATTGACAAGATTCAAAGAGCTAGGACAAGTCAACTGCAAGAAGGTACAGCAGGTAGCAAAGTCTCTGCCTATATAAACTATTATTCCTCACTCACCCCTTAGTTCTGCTACAGTCATAGTTCTATGACTGCTGCTATCCCTGTTGAAACTCTGGGTCCCATCCTGATCCCAGCTCACCACTCAGCCTTCCAGAGCAAATACTGACTCTATTTTCATCAAATGTTTAAGGGAACCCCACCTAGAACTTGGCTCTTATCATCACTCAAAAGAGCCACATCACAGAGCATCCACAGACTCTTTTTGGATCCATGGCCTCTTTTGTTGCTTTCATCTACCCACTCATACTTGTTATTAGCATTTCATAAGAAGCCTGGGTTTAAGCTCTAGCCCATTGATTCTGTTAAAATCAGCAGGGGAGGCATCCTGTTTGACAGTCAGCTTGAACTGCTGCCTCTTCGTAAACATGCCATTCCCAAGAACCTCAGGTGACACATGCTCTTCAACAGATCAGTAAACAACAATGGCCAATGACCTTTGCTCAAGACTGCCCACCTGGATCACAGAAAATAGGTGGGGGAGAAAGTTACTGTTGTTTTTCTCAACTCACTGAACTTTCCCTTTCTTCTAGCTCCTCTCATGGCTCTTACATCTCTACAAACCCTAATTTCAACAATACAAATGCTTCCTAGCCTCATCTAAAGTCTACAGGCAGAATCCTGATTAAATCTGTGGAATGTCCCAGTATGGGAATCTTAACTCTTCAAGAGCAAACCAAGGAAGGGCAAGGTAAGGTGGTACACAATCTAATCACTCTGTGCTCATCATCTGGAAAGCTCCCTGACTATAGAAGTGGATGGCAAAAAATGTGGCTTCTTCAATTAGTACTCAGAAAGATGAGGCCACTACACATATAGTCAGCTTATAAGCACAACGCCTCCGGCACATCAAGACAGAGCTGTGACTAGTGACCACAAACCCCACTACCACACAGCCTTGGGATTCATTTCAACCTAATTTTGCTTAGACAGCAATGTGGGAAAGAGTGTTTCTTAAACCCCCTGAAAAAGCTAGAGATCCAATGCTTTCCAACTGACACATGATATTAGCTGCAGGGGACAGAACTCCAGTGGGGATGCTAGGTCAGGAGCCTATACCTTGGGCTTGTTTGTGCGACAACATAGCTTCTGTCCTCTGTACATGTCTTTTCAGCAGCTGGGAGGTCCCAATTTGACTAGATTTCTGGGTAGAGGTTACCGTGGTCACTTTGGTCTTAGGACTAGAGGTGGGGCTGCTGGATACGCTGGAGAGATCCTAGGAAGAGAAGGCCCCAGAGATGAGTCAATGTTTGCATTTAACTACTAATCCACATGGCCCCCTGAAACTCCCCATGTAGCAACTCCCAGGTGCCCCCATGAAAGAAGGAACCAACTATGCATCCTCAGATCTCAGCAAAAGTGCTCCCTCCCTGCCCACACTACCTCTGAGCCTGAGGGGGATGTAGGCAACTTGGCAGCTGGGGAACCAGGTCGACTGCCTCGCTCAGAAACTTCAAAGGCCAAGTCTCTTCGGGTCAAGTCCCGAGGCTTCTTCTTCTTCTCAGCATCCTGATCTCGAGACTCAGAGCCCACATGACCCTCAGAGCGAGTGAGCACTCCAGTCAGAAAGTCCACAATCTCATCCTAGTGCGAAAAGAAGCCAAGGCCCAAGTCCTCCTCTGGAGAACAGGACCCTCCTAGATAGCGTCAAGCTAGATGACTCAACCTCAAGATGATGGTCTTCCCCACTCACAAAGACAAACAAAGGCCAAGCTTCCAGGCAGCTCTGCCTGGAGAAAAGCAGCAGGTGTCTCTGTGAAAGATGTTCTGGGCACACTCCTCCCCTCTTATACTCTGTCTCTCCACTCCCCACAATGCTTCACCCACATCTCAGTTTGCCTTTCCTTGGCCTTTTCTCCCTCTTTCCCCTTTTCTTTGTGATTTAGGCCTACCAGAGAGCCCTTTGAATATCCCTCACATGCAAAAGAATGGAGCTACTGCCAACAAAACTAATCCTAAAGGCAACAAAAGGAGCGTCCAGCTAAGAAAACACATGGGACTACTGTTTACCTGAATACATCTATCCACCATGCTTTGAGTCAACCCTTCTGATTTCTTCTTTGCTTTGCTTATCCTAAGAAATAAAAAAAAAGAACAGTTGGGTCAATGAGACAACTCAGTGATCACAAAAGTGCTTGCTAAGAATGCCTAACAACCTAAGTTTGATCCCTGGAACCCAGAGTAAAAGGAGAGGACAGGCTCCCAAAAGTTGTCCTCTGAATTCCACATATGCACTGTGGCACTTGCATTCCTACATGTATACACCCACAATTATACATGTATCACACAGTTAAATTTTTTTTAATTTACTTTTATTTTGTTTGTGTTTTGTTAACATGTATGTAAGTGCACCTATGTGTGCAATGCCTGCTGGATCCCCTAGAACTACAGTTATGGATGGTTTGTAGCCACTGTGTGGGTACTGCAAGAGCAACAAGGCTCTTAAATGCTGAGACATCTTTTCAGCCTCCAGTTTAAAAAAAATTTTTAAAGAGCAAAGTGGTTTACTTTTTAAAACATTCTATGAGGTCCTACAGAAAGAAAAATGGATTTCTCCTATTACTAGGTCTGGGAAGCACTACATTTGTACACCTCATTCACACAGTAGAATATTAAACAACTTATGTTGTGAGCTAAGCATGGTGCCTAGAACTGTCCACTTAGGAAGTTCCTTACCTATGAGATATAGTCTACTTGGAATGCTGGGGCCTCATCAAGAGATTTCCCCCAACACATCTTCCAACCCCAAGGTTGTATCTTCAATGTAATCATAAGAAAATATAAAAAAAACTAGCTACAAAATACCTGACCAGTAGTCCTTAAAATTCTCAAAATCAGCCAGGAGTGGTGGTGCACGCCTTTAGTCCCAGCACTTGGGAGGCAGAGGCAGGCGGATCTCTGTGAGTTCAAGGCCAGCCTGGTCTACACTTTCTATATATCAATAACAAGCAAATACAGAAAGAAAACATGGAAGCACTCCCCAAAAAAAAAAAAAAAAAAAAAAAAAAAAAAAAAATTCTCAAAATCATGGGAAACAAACACCAAGAACTAGGCATGAAGATGCAGGTCTGTAATCCTAGCACTTGAGAGGGACATAAGGACCATGTATTCAAGCATCCTCAGCTACAAATCTGAGAATAGCTTAAGCTATATGAAATCCTGTCTCAAAATAAATAAGAGAGAAAAGGGGGTGTGTGCGTGCGTGCGTGTGTAGATCAAGGAGGAACCTTAAGATAAAGGCAACTAAATGCAATGTACAATCTTGAATTGGATCCTGGGCCAGAAAAAAACCACATTAGGGAAGAAACTGATGAAATCTGAGTCTGTAATTTAGATAATGTTATCAAATCAATGTTAATTACATCATCTGGAGAATTGCCCTTTGGTTACATATTACCATTTAGAAAATCTAGGCTAGGGATATATGGGATTTCTTATACTAGCTTTACAGCTCTTTGTTTTTGTGTTTTTGAGATAGGTTTGAGGCCCAAGCTGGCCTTGAACTCAGTCCTTCTGATTCAGCCTCCTGAAAACTGGCTGTAACAGGCTGTAATTGTTTTTCCTCTTTAGCTGCAAGTTTTTATAAATCTGAAACTAATTTAAAGCACTTTTAAAAAATTTGATGTCCAGGGGGCTGGAGAGATAGCTCAGTGGTTAAAAGCACAGACTGCTCTTCCAGAGGACCCGGGTTTGATTCCCAGCACCCACAAGGTAGCTAACCACTGTCCATAACTCCAGTTTCAGGGGATACGACACCTTCTTCTGACCTCCGTGGGTACTGCATGACACGGGTGCACTTACATACATGCAGGCAATATACTCATATACATAAAATAAAAATAGCAAACAAAATTTAAAAAAAACAAAACAAAACTGGAGTCAAATGTTAACTCAGACACACTGGCTTATTGTTATACATTGCCACAGGACAAGAATTCTTCTTACATTCTAACAGACTCCCTCACAGCTCTAGAGGAATTTACCCACCTGAGATTATCATCAGCTCCTCCAACCACTACCAAGCTATTTTCAGCTCTAATCTTTTCCCGGAAGTCCTCCATGGCTTCAGGGTGGCACTGCAAGGAATTCTGACCAATGACAAAGAGGACTGGAGTTTTCATGTCCAAGAGGGGATCATCCACATCCTAAAAGAGGCAGCGATTTAGATTCAGTTTGTCTCCAGGAAGCACCGACCTTGAAGCTGCTCAAAAGAGTCAGCTATTCATCTGCAGGAGGCCTCATCCCACGCCTCATCCCACCCTGAACAAGGCATGCACTCCACTGTCCCAAATCCCCCCAACCTTCTACTACCAATGACCAGCCACTTTCACCTCACTCTTACCCCCCGGGGGCCATCCACAGTAAGCAGAGGAAACCCAAGGCAGATAACTGCAGTGACATACTCCATCACTGATACCTGCGAATAAAGGCACCATTCACTTGAAGGGCAAGTGACTTCACTGCACCTCAGCCTCTCCAGTTTCCTGATGACAGGATTACATGATCAGAACACAAGCAGCTATTTTGAGAACTGGAGCTCTAACAGTACCCTAGCACACAGTTGAGCCATGCAACGGAAGTTGTGATACTTCAATCCTATCCATGCCCTAGATCAGAGCCCTTCTACTGTTTTTGTCATTAAGAAAAAAATACAATCACCCAGCACTTGGGAGGCAGAGGCAGGCAGATCTCTCTGAGTTCAAGGCCAGCCTGTTCTACACAGTGAGTACCAGGCCAGCTGGGGCTACAGGGAGACCCTGTCTCAAAAAAGAAAAAGGGAAAAATACAATAAAAAAGAGACAAATGTTGTCAAGCTGGGGGATGCAGCTCAGTGACAGGGCACTTGCTTCACATGTACAAGGTTTTGAGTTCCATGCGTCCCAAAACACAGAGGAAAAACCACAAATGCTGACACTCTCCCTTAAGTGGAGAAATTTCTCATCACTGGGCTTAAGGGACAGCTCCCACACATCCAAAATTTCTAAGAGCAAGTATTCCCGGGAGTGGGAAGTACAGCAGGTACTTGCTTTAGCTATCACTGACCAGACTGTTTAGTAGAACTGGGGCTTTCAAAAAGTCAGAAACATGCAAATGGTAGACACATATATAAGGGTCCCCAGATGTCTTATAAAGGTACTAAACACGAATACATCAAATTTAAAACTATTAATGTGTACCTATTTGAACTGTTTATGAGAGAGAACAGTATGGTACATAAGTTTGGAGAAAAGGTATCTTTTTTATTTTTTCAGAGATATATGCTGAAACATAAATAAAATACAATATTTGGGACTATCAAAAAAAGTATTTGGGAATATCTTAAATTTTTTTGTTTGGTTGGTTTTGTCAAGTTGAATCTCCCAAGAAGTCTGGGTTGCCCTGTAGTTCACTGTATAGCCCAGGCTAGCCTCAAACACAAAGCAATCTTCCTGCCTCTGCCTCCCAAGTGTTAGGATGACAGGCATCTGCCACCATACCCAGCTTTGAACTTTCTTCAAAATAACCTGAGGGCGGGGGGGAGGTTACAGACAGTAGTAGGAGCAGACAAAAGCAGGCCTGGCTGTGAGTTATTCCTGGCAAAGCGAGGTGATGGGACCAAGGAGCTTATTCACTGGTCTGTTCTTCCTGTTTAAAATTTCCCACAACAACATTAAAAAACTAAAGTCTCCCACACAGTATAAAATGTAATCTTACACATAAAACATCTAACATGGGGACTAAAACAACAGAGGCTCAAGGGAGCTACCAGTAGGAACAGTAGAAATAGTCATAGCATTCTAAGACAACTTTCAATATTTCAGCGACCTCCAAATAAGGTAGAAATTACTTACATGACAGGCCACCAAAGCTCCTGTGTTCCATCCAATCAAGATAATGGGTTTATGTGGAAAATGACTGTGAATCTTTGTGACAGAGAAAGAACACAGTAAGATAGGAGACTACACATGGGCACAGAACAATCCTAGCATGCCCAGCATTCTCACCTCCAGCACTTTGCTTCTCACGGCCCCAATCATATGCTCGAGACACTGCAGAACGCCTACCCCACTCCCATTGTTCAGCAGATGAGTTGCTACAGGGATGACCTAAAGGAAAGAAAGGGCAACCATGCCAGTTGTGGTATGTTTCAAATCTCTCAGTTCTGCTTAACTTACCCTGGAATCCTTTAACCTTAGATAAGCACCATTAAAATGCCAAATAAGAGTTAGAGGCTGAATTACATTTGAGTTCAATGAACTTGACTCCCTACCACACACTCTTCTCTTCAATCCTCCATGATGACATTTGTACCTAGAAGAGTTCTGCTTGCCCCCACAATTACCTTGCCTAAGCAGGAAAGCTGAGACTGCCAGAATCGGTGGCGGCGTGAGGCAGGGAACACAGAGCTTGAGGGACCAGAAGAGGCGATAAGAATCAAAGGAGAGCCAGGGAGTTTGCTCTGGGGAGACAGAATCCCATCCAAGTACCAGTGAGTGAGAGGTGTTCATCCACAAACTCTTAACAGCTACATCCCAACACAGTTCTCACATCAATGATCCTTTGCTATGACACTATGTTAAGCACTATGAAAAATAAGCTCTTGGGGCTGGAAAATGGCTCAGTAGTTAAGAGGGCATACTGCTCTTCCAGAGGACTTGAGCTTAGTTCCCAGCACCTATGTATGGGCAGTTTACAACTGCCTGTAACTCCAGCTCTTAAGGAATCTGATGTGCTCTTCTGGCCTCCACGGACATCTGAGTTTATGCTCACATACCCATACACTGACACATGCACACACAATTTAAAAATAACAATAAGAAGCCAGGCATGGTGGCGCACATCTTTAATCCCAGCACTCGAGAGGCAGAGGCAGGCAGATCTCTGTGAGTTCCGGGACAGCTGGGGCTACAGGGAGACCCTGTCTTCAAAAAGACCAAATAAATAAATAAATAAACAAACAAATAAACAAACAAACAAACAATAAGTAAATCTTAAAAGTGTTAAGGGATTTGCACAAGTTCCCAAAGCTGACAAATGCCAGATCTGAGATTTAAATCCAGGAACTCTGATTGTAGACTCCCTGGCCTCTGTAATGAAGTGAACGGTTGACCTTCCTGTGCCCTTGACCCTGCTGTAAGCCTGTCACATGCATCAACTCATCTAACCCTCACAACAGCCTCACAAAGTAGATGTTCTTAAACCATTTCCCATGCATCAAGAAGTCTACCCCAGAACTATCTTTTCTGGAAATTTCAAGGACCAGAGAATTGTGAAAGACCATTCACTCTGAATCAGCAAGAGGGCCCAATCACCTGAGAGCGAAGATGGATTTGAGGGCTGAGGGTGGAGCTCAGTGGTGCCTGGATGCTTGTCTAGCACACACAAGGTCCTGTTTTCAATCCCCAGCAATGCAACAAAATAAAAGGTTTGGGGTTGTCAGTGGTGCCCTCCTGTGTAAAAGACAGGTGGTAGCTGTTAATTCATTTATCAACTATCCATTTCCTAAAGAACACTCCAAGTAAGTGGCTGGGATGGGAGGGTTAAAGATGTACATGGGCTGGTGAGATGGCTCAGCACGTAAGGGTGCTTGCAGCCAAGTCCGATGACCTGAGTTTGCTCTCTAGTGCCCACAATGCAGAAGAAGAAAATGACTTCTGCAAGTTTTCCGTTGGCCTTAACACACACACACACACACACACACACACACACACACACAC